ACAAACACGCGGCCTGGCAGCCGTATCTGTATGAGCGGCGCTCGGATTTCACCGCAAAGAGTTCAGGTGAGGCCTAACGCTTGCCAGATGCTGTGGCTAAGTCAGCAGGAGGTTAGCCTAACATCGCCGTGTTGTTGTGCAAAAGAGAGAGGTGGTCATCTGGAAACCCCAAAAGCTCCTTTTATGGTCATTATCTAACACTGTGGGTTCCATTAGTGCCAGTAATGACAGTTTAAGACTTTACATACCACGTTCCTCAACTATATCACGGTTCAGCTACTGCAACATCGCGCTACATCGGATATTTGAGCCACTGAGAGATAGAGTGGACTAACTCCATTTTTGTCATTTTGCAGGAGAGTTTTAAGACTGCAATGAAATCTGAGGGATTTATATCTTCATTTTTATCGTAATCGTAATCGCGGACAATCCTGGAACTAACACACTTACACAGCTACTTTAGAAAGGATATTTTCGAGCTGTTGCCTCTGGCATTCTGGGTCCGTTAAACCAAGGTTCCACTGTAGACCATGATGGTCATCTTTCGTTTCTTAGGTTGGATCATTGTCCGTATCATCTACGTTTCATGAAAAAAAGAAACAAACTGATATATATTTTTGAAATGTACAACAGTGGTCCAAGCCTAAACATTCGTCATATTTATCAATATTTCCTTAGTACTTATTAACTGTAATGGCCTCACATGTGGAAAAAGGAAGCCGCAGACGTATATCAAGGCTCCATCAGATGAATTTTAAACACATTGACAACAGTAAAACAAACACATTGCCCATACAAATGCAGAACCTGCTGTCAGCCACAGCTCACGCCCAGGCAGTCACACTCATTTATTTTGAGGAAAAAGCTTATTTGTGCGCACACACCAGTTTGAAAGTCCCTGCACAACTGTTGGATGACACTGTGGGGTTTTTTTTTTTTTTTTTTTTTGCACTTATAACTGGTTTCGAAAGGCACAGAAGTGCATCTTAAAAAGAAGCTCAAATGTGAACAGGCTGTGTGTGAATGAGGTTTTCAGACAGGGTAAAAGACGAGCTTGGAAAGGAGATAATAAATAGCGGCACTTGAAAGACCGCTGATAAGCTTCAGAGTGAAGGACGCGTCGCAAGCCAGAGAGAGATAGGCCCTGACAAAAGCCAGTCGACGACCGTGTTAAATTGATCACATTGTATGGACGGGGCCAGCGTCAGCCTTATCCAATCAGCGAGAATACGGCGACCGGAGGGACCGAATGGGCCTCAATGTGACAGACGCGCCTAAGCGCTTTGTCACATTTGTGTGCGGGTGCGTGTGTGTGTGTGTGTGTGCGCGTGTGTGTTGTAATAATGAGTGTTTAACCACCATAGCGCTGCTCACCTGTGTCAACGCGTAGCGGGACTTAAGTGAGTTAATTATTGCCCTCCAGACGTCTGCAGCAAGGGGGTGGGGCACGGGAGGAACACAAATTGCAGATGAGATAAGCAACCTCTCAAATTTCTACGATTTGAATGGGACAAATAAAGCAACAGGTTATGTGACGTCATTAAAGTTCACACACCCAGATCTGAAATCATCCTTCCCCATTGTAATGGATGAGATGCTATTAATCCATTCCAGCCTCTTAAACACACAAAAAAAGACATAATTAAATAGAATATAAACCCATTCAACGGTTTGGGACACATTTTTTTCCCCCTCTTTAATTCAATGGATATTGTGCTGCTCCTTCAAGTGTGGGTGTTTTAGGTCTTATTTGGCTGACTGAACTTTTTGTGTTAGGCTTGGATGCTCTGAGTCACAAACTGCTCCTCTGTCATGTGGTGTCTCACAGGGTTCAATTCTGAGGCCTCTGCTGTTTTCATTGTACCTGCTTCCTTTGCATTCCATCTTAAGGAAACATGTTTTAATGTGCTCTACAAATGCAGTTGAGTTGAGATGAGACAGACAGAGGGAGCTCAGTGCCTTATTAAGCTTCATTAGGAGTAAGACCTTTTTCTTAGACGATATGACACAGTGACATGGATCCTATATGTTAGCTTTTCTTTTGTGTTTTTCATGATGTGTTAGCCTTAAGCCAGCGGACTTTCAGGCAAAGTTCCTGTACCTGGTTGTTTTAAATACTTTGTAATTCTCGTTGTTTTATGGTTCGTTTGACAGTCGACTTGTGTCCCTTGTTTCTCACTGAATACTGCATGCAGCTTGAGAACTAAATGGCCGCATGTGCAGGAGGTGTGTAACAAATGGACAAATTCAAATGGTTGTGGCCTTGGTGGAGGTCGACACTCACAGCATTCGAATGCATGAGACACAACTTCCTCGGGCCTCTTTGAGTTACTCTGGTGGAAGCTGTATTTTTAGCACTCTTGAGTAATAAGGAGCGTATTTCCAGTAAGTGACAGTGCAGCTGGAGAATGTGTGCAGGAAATGTCCATAATATAAAACAATACGCACACACACACACACACAAACACACACACACACACACACACAGGGCTGATATGGGGTTCTTACTGCAGTGTGTCCCAAACATTACTAGACAACTAGAGAGTCCAGTAGCAAAGTCAAGGTTTGGGGGGGTTTGATAAGCCAAGCAGCTTTGTGGTCCGTGTGTGTGTGTGTGTGTGTGTGATAAAACAATACGCACACACACACACACAAACACACACACACACACACACAGGGCTGATATGGGGTTCTTACTGCAGTGTGTCCCAAACATTACTAGACAACTAGAGAGTCCAGTAGCAAAGTCAAGGTTTGGGGGGGTTTGATAAGCCAAGCAGCTTTGTGGTCCGTGTGTGTGTGTGTGTGTGTGTGTGTGCGTGTGTGCGTGTGTGTAGTTTTTAATCAGGTCACTCGGATCCCAGACCTTTCTTCTCCCACTCTGCCCCCTCCATCTGGAAGACTACGACAGGGGTGACCAAGAGGGGCACCACTGACCCAGATTGGGTAAGTGCACGTGTGTGTGTGTGTGTGTGTGTGTGTGTGTGTGTGTGTGTGTGTGTGTGTGTGTGTGTGTGTGTGTGTGTGTGGAGTGTTGGGTTGGGGGCAATCAGCTGTGTATGATGTCTTCAGTCCCCACTGCTTCAATTCATTATCAACACAAGATTGACGGAAACTAAATGTATACTCATCCCAATGCGCGCGTGTGTGTGCGCGTGTGTGTGGGTGTGGGTGTGTGTGTGGGTGTGGCTGTGCGCGCGCGCGCATATATGTATGGTCTAAGATTTTTTGTGACCCACTTGACCTAGATACACGCACACACACAGGTGCAGACATACCCACCAGGGATGCAGTGTGCCTCTGTGAAGTGTGCCCAGCTGGACTCCTGTCGCATCACAGGATCTATCTATCTATCTGGATGTTAGCTAGCTAGGTAGCGAGCTAGCTAGCTATCATCTCGCAATTAAATATCTGTCATTCTATCTAAAAGTGTAATGCACACACCCACCGCGAGATATTCTAAATTGGAACCACTTGCAGTAAATTCTCCGCTCATTGAAGGCCTCTCTGCATTCTTGCCCATAGGGCAGAAGGAAAACAGCATCGACCGCTAACCCGCACCGAACGGAATGGATGACCATTCATGGAAGCGCGGCAGGGCCCTCTCTCCGTTGCGCTCTCTCGGGAACGGGCGAATAAACAGCACATGGAGCGTGTGCAGACATGACAAAGGCAAGCTGGCCTCTTCGTCCAGTCTGATCCCCATCCAGCGTGTGTGTGTGTGATGTGTGACGGAATCCACTCACACACGTCGCGTGATCTAATCAACTTTTATGTCTGCTAATAATCTTGTACAACGGTTGTCTGCGGGAAGAGCACGTGCGTTAAATGAATCCCACTAATGACTCAAATGTCACGTGTCGGCCCCATCTCACTGCGGGCTTGGATTCTAATGAAGAGGGATCTGTATGGGGGGGGTTAGGTTTTGGTGAAGAAACAAACAAGCAGATTTTAAGAACATTTGACAGCAGTCTTAACTGTCGCGCACGTTTTTAAATCACCTGCACAGAGTAATGCTTTGAGAAGGCCTAAAGATTCTTTGACAAACAACTAACATAAATAGAGTAGGCCAAAATCTTTGGCGAGGGGCGTCTCTGGTGAACCACAAATACGCTCAAACTCATCCAGGAGGCTTTTCCACAAGAATCTCAACTAATATTGGTTAAAATTATCATGTTGAATATTTGTTTACATTTGTACAATGGCAACTACATTTCCACAGCCTGAAAAGAGGGTGGTCTCTGTTGATAAAGCTTAGTTACGGCCATCCCTGCGAAAATGCTCGCTCATTCGGTGGGCTTTTACACATGACATTATATTTACATTTGTACAGGATCGCTGTCTTTTGAGAGCCTGAAAACGTAACCTACTGTAGTGGCGAGCATCTCTGTTGACGCGAATTCTCTGACTGATCCAGGTCGTTTTTAATGGAATTTTTTTTTTTTTTTTTAATGTCATTTTGGCCAATTCTTTGCACGACAACAGCATTTTGGAGCTTGAAATCCCACCCTGGTTGAGGTACTCTGGTTTCGTATACAGTGGTACCTCTACTTACTAACGTCTCTTCATCCGAAATTTTCGAATTATGCTTGAGGAAACATGTCTGAATTTTAGGGGGGGTTGGAACGAATTAGGACATTTACATGGAAAACGCGCCTCTACTTACAACATTTTCTAGTAAAGAAATTTCTTCCAGAACCAATTAATTTCATAAGTAGAGGTACCACTGTACAGTAAACCCCCCTCCATCGCGGGGTTATGTTCCAGACCACCCCCACAATAAGTGAAATCCGTGGTTGTATCAAAATACGTGAATGTGTGAATTTCAAACTGAAGTCACCATTTTGCACACCAATTTGACAAGGCTAACAACTTAGCAACTGGAGCTAACACAAAAGCCAGGTGTTGATGATCACCGGATGGCTATCGACTACACGGACCGTTCCATTCAGGGTCGATTCAAGCGACAAAACAAAAGTGTGACCAGCAGCTGGTAGCCTCCATCGCTGAGTCACATTGTGAAATGCTTGTTTTGGCCCCCGCATGGTCGTGGCTTTTTGCCGCCCCCTTCCCTCCCTTGCCACCTGCCATACAAGTTGCTTTGCCTCCATTTATTCGCGCGTGTCAAATATTCCCGTCCAAGGACACGGGCAGGGTCACGTGACTACATCAACAGCCACGTTCCCACGCAGTGAAGCCACACCGGTGTGGAAGTGGAGCCCCTGGATGACAGGCATGCGCTTTGTACACTCTGCATGTCTAAGCTGGAGTTTACCGTGAAAACAACTCCATGCTAGGAGACATTTCATTTTACATGATTGTAATTGCATGTGAGGCAGCTTTTCCCATAACATGATTTGGGTGTTGAAAACATCCATAAAACTTGTATTTGTATCGTCGCTCAGCATGTTTCAGAATTAGCGGGAAATCATAACAAAACTTTTTTTTCAGACAAATTACCTCTGTGTTCGAACACTCACCCACCCTAAAGATACAATCTATAAATTGTGAGTCCTGTCGCAAGAGAAATTATATGCTCAAAAATATTTTTTATGCTAAAACAAACCAAAAAAAGCTGTATTTATGCACTGAAAACACTGTAAAACGTTGTATTTGGCCATTAACTATTGGTATCCCGCCATCGAATATCAATAATGTTGAATTCAGATGTTACATATCTCTTGGGTTCCGGGTTTGCAGTCCCACTTATTTGTCAGATTTTTTTTGGGTGCAGTAGTTATAGTATCATATTTATATATAGTGGTTATAACACAGAGTGTCCCAAATGTCTTTATACACTTCCTTTTTTTGTTTCAGGTATCAATTGGACAGATGTGAGGCCATCGGCATTTGATAGCTTCATCTTTGCAGTTTGAGGAAGCATATCATTCCCTTGCCCTTGGCTTGCCAATTGATATTGGAGCAGCGTTGCAAAATTGCCACCTGGCAAAAAGATTTTCTGTCCTCGACTGCAGTTCTGTCCATTTCCGTGTACTGCAGCCCTCCGGATGGATAGACTTTCACTGGCTTTGCGCAAATGACAGCTCAAGGCGTTCGGTGTTTTCATCAGTGGTTGTAGTCGCCACGGCGAGTTGCGTGGTTTATTTTGAGAAACTTGCCATGGATATTGTAAGTTGGATTACATGCTGAAATTGTGCCTATGCTGTCAAATGCTGATGGCCTCACAAACTGGCCGATTGATTCCTGAAACAAAAGAGAATAAAGGAAGTGAGTCGTGACTTTTGGAAACACCCTGTTGGTTGAGAAATGAGCAAGCTACAACTAATTTTCACTGTACAGGCATTGCCCCTGCCAACATGGCTGCCACATAGGCCCCGGTCTGCTACAGTATCACTGTAAGTGGAACTAACGATATGGTCATTTTAGTGAAGTTTTTATCCCCCTTTCAAGCCACCAATGAAAATGCGGCCCTTATCGGGCGATCGCTAAATCATGATACTGTGGGTCTTTTTGTGAAAACCATCAAAATCCTATCATACTACGCGCTAGCTAGCCCCCATCGGATTATCAAAATTTGCGGAAGATGCTGTGTGGCTGTGTGAGAAACGAGATAATTTCTGGATCTTCTGTTTTGGCTCCAACGTGGCGATTTGACGTGATCTTTTCGTATAAAAGCATCGTGACCTCCCAGGATGACACACATCGATGACATCACCGCATATCACCAGAAGTCTTTGCAGACGCCACAACTTTTTTTGGGTGAGTAAGCTGACCTTTTATCGTAGTATCAAGAGTTGTTTCAACTGCCTTCAAGCTCATTTGGTGACATTTTTGGAAATGTTTGGCCTGTGAAATATACGACCCTAGCATTGTAATTTGATTGAGCAGGGAAGAAGAGGAGGAGGAGGAGGAGGCTGGTGATCATTATGCGTGGCGATTGTTGATGGCTTGATTGTCTGCGTCCAGCTGCATGGAGGAGGCAGGGAGGGAGTGGAAGAGAAGTCGGGGAGGAGGGGGGGTTGGGGAGCTGAGCAGACTCACTGACGCCAGGCTCGGAATTCTCCCATCCATTGAAAGAGAGAGGCGATTGTGTCCGTGCTCTTTGCAGGGCGAGCACCTGATCCCGCGTGTGCGCATGTGCGTTGAGTCAGTCTGAGACAGTCTTGTATGAAGTACCTGAAAGTGATACTTGTGTTTTAAAAAAAAAAAAAAAAGGATCTTTATAGAATGTAACTTTGGTCGGGGTTAAAGTCACAAGCAAGTTGTCTGCTTCAAAACAATTTGCTGAGTTGACTTATATTTTTAAGAGTGGTTGCACAATGCAAGAGAGAACAGTTCTGTAAAAAAAAGTCACCTTTTAAAACAGCAAAACTTAAAATATATAATTGAATTGCCCAACTTCAAATTTTATCATTGGTTGCCCTTTTTTTAGTTCACCCAACTTTTTTTTTTTTTTTTTAAGTCTTAAAGTAGCTAACATTTGCATCGGGACGCCGCAATCCAGGTAATTGCAGACCGCCCTAAGATGAATGTCGCCCCCGATAGACGGTTGACATTGGCCCATGTCAGTGACGAAAGTACAACCGCAACAACACTGTGGCGGGAATCCCCTCATAGCGCCCGCTTACTAGCTAATGCTGGCTGGTAGCTAGTACGGGCCCCAGCAGGGTTCAGTAATGTCCCCGATGCCCCACCACCACCACCACCCCCCTTCAACCAGGGTTGATGGTAATTATTTTTTCATCATATGTCAATTAATAAATGATATCTTTGCTTAACAATTGCCTTTATTTTTTTTTTTCTTCCATGATCCTGCCTTCGACCCCAGCGGATGTGAGAACTCACCTGCCTGTACTGAAGTATGTAAAATAATTTTCTGATATTGAATGTACCTAAGTATTGGAGTGGAAAGTATTTTTTTTAAATGAATGGTTAGAATTTTTATTGCTATTTATTTTTATTTTAAATTTTCATCAGTGGTGCATGTTGGCTAATGTGTGAAATTAGCTAGCACATGTTTTGCCGTATGCCTAGAAAAGCTTTTGATGACCAAAGGAACATTGTATGAACAAAAAAAGTTACAGTTACATCCATTACAAGATTGGTCTGAGAAAGAAAACTGTTTGAAGCCAAAAGTATTCAAGACAGCTCATGCATCTGCTTGCATGTCATTTTCCCACCATCCCTTCATGAGAAGTTTGAAAAGGGGAATATTTATCCCTTCCTCCTTCTCTTATAGTACAAAAGGGTCAAACCAGGTGATATTTATCTTAAATCGTTTGATCACACGACCCCAGTTTAGCGTTTCACGTCACATTTAGCTGCTGATATTCTCACTTTTAGCTCTTCTTTTTTTTTCGCGGATTCGAAGCGCATCGTCGCTGATTGACAGTAGAAGCGAGCCAATCAGAGCACTGAGCGTCTCCGCCTGAGGGTGGGGAGGGAGGCGGAACCTTCGAGCTTGGGAGGGGTGAGGCTGGGGAGGTGGGGCGGGGGGGGTACGCGTCGGCTGAATGGATGACGTCGGGAGGCTGGCGCCAGCATGTCTGGGACTGGCGCGTTAGATCAACACAGCTGGGCCGGGATAGGACACACAGCTGGCTGGCCGCTGCATTCCTCTACAAAACAGGATTGTGTGAGTGCGCGTGTGTGCGTGTGCGTGACAGAGAGAGAGCGAGAGAGAGAGAGGAGGAAAATAAGACATAAATATAAGGAGCAGAACGGGACGTGCTTCCCTCGCAGCCAACTTGGGGCTCTGCAATTATTTCAATGTTGTTGTTGTTTTTGTTTCTTTTTTTTTTTTTTGTGCAAGAGACAAATGTGCATCATGTGTCCTCTGTGGCACATGCGGGGCAGAGAAAGGTCACGTGAATAAAAGACACCACTTGACGGTTTACCTTCGTTATAACTGTATGCTAGTATTTTTAATTATAAAGTGTAGTTTTCCACTTCTCCTGGGGCTTTTTTTTTTTTTTGCTGGGCTTGCACGTAACCAAATGGATTGCAAAACATGTAGACAGTGATGAAACGCAGTGTTCACAGTGTTGAGACAGCATATGACAGTTTTTATTACCCAAGAAGCTGGAGGGAACTTTAGGTCAGCTGTAAAAAGGAATGAATAAAATTGATTAATAAAGACCTTCATATTACCTATATTTTCAAAAAATATTTTAAAAGTAAAATTAAATAATAACACGTATTTACACTACAGCAAAAGGTGTATTGTAAAATAACAAATGGTGTAATATATATTTGAAATAATATGAATTTAAAATAAAATAATGAAACCTTTATACTCAAAAAGTCACAAACGGTAAAAAATGAAATGGTTCAAATAAAAGTTGAAATGAATGCAGTGATACAATGAATTCCATCTTCATTTATATCACACTTTAGGACAAATATATTGCAAACACATTTAAAAATAAGTGTTTTATTCATCGATCATGCTCATTTTGACCCCACAAGTGTGAAATTCAAGTCGCATTCTGCATTCACTATTGGATCATTTTAATATTACATAAAATGTGTACAAAATGGCTCACAAAACAAATAGAAAAGTCATATTTAACCCAGAGGAAGGTGTGTCATTCTATTAAAAAAGACAAATCAAAACAGAATTGAGTGAAAAAGCCAGAAAACACCAATCCACAAATATCCATAATATCGGACTTGCAATTTATTTAAATCCATATTTTTTTCATGAATTTAGCATGGTACCTTAGAGAACTTTGCTTAACTTGTAAAACTTGCAACTGACAAAACAAAACTTTGGGGAAATGGAATTACACCATAAAAGCATATTTCTTTCAGGGAAAGATCTTTAATTGAAAACAAAGACAGCTTTCAATAACATTCAAAGATGTTTTGCTCGCAACTACCTGGAAAGAGATCATTGATTGACAATTCCATGCAGGCAACCCAGATCCCATTTCCTCATTCTTTATGGCCGCGACCACGAGACGGTGTTGGCCAATGAGAAACCATCTCTCTTTTCGCTCACGCCAATCAGGGCGCGGCGCTCGATAATGGGCGTGGTCTGACACTCACTCTATATAGCCGTGCTACAGCGTTATTCTTGACAGCGACGCGAGCTCCCCTCTCGAACGTTCAAGTCAACAAATCGAGAAGACTTTTCCTATTTGTCAAAGTCCGCCATGAAAGCCATCAGTCCCGTTCGCTCAGGGAGGAGCTGCTACAAGGCCGTGTGCTGCATTTCGGAGCACAGCGTGGCTATCGGCCGGACGGCGAAGCAGCAACAGCACGCGTGCGTGGAGGTTCAAGCTGGCGACATGAACGACTGCTACTCGCGGTTGGCCGCGCTGGTGCCCAGCATCCCCCGCAACAAGACGGTGAGCCAGGTGGAGATTCTGCAGCACGTCATCGACTACATCTTCGATCTACAGATCGCCTTGGAGGCCGAAGAGACCCCGAGGCTCTTGTCGATAAAGGTAAGCAGGTTTGGACTCATCACTCCTTTGATTATATCGATTCATCTGGGTGCAAACATAAAAATAGTCGTAAATACAATGGAGTTTGGGTAATTAAAGCTTGGGTTTACTTGCAGACTGCTGACCTGACCAGAACTTTCTCCAAAGATGAAGGGCGTTTGTGCCATTAGGATATATCATGTCTGATTATGGTAAGTACCACTGTTCTTTTTTTTAACAATTTAAATCATCTTTGTTAGTAGCACTTTGAGTTGTGTTGCTTGAAAAGTTGCTTGTATTGACAATTACTGAGATTTTGAATGGATGCTTGTCTTTGACCCGACAATTTTGACCTTTTTGATCCCATTTCCAAAAGGATATGGAATTAGTTATTTCAAGGAACGAGAATGACATGATTTGAATGTAAAACGTGACTGGGGTTCTTGCTAGACAATATTTAAATGTCGAAATCTGTAAGACTCTCCCTCAGACATTGGGCAACAGTCACTTAGAAGCAAGGAAGGGGAACTTATCAATATGAAGTCCATACTAAATTTATGAAGAAATTCTGGGAAAACCTCTTATCTAAAAAAAAAGTGCTTTGTTATGAATACATAATGCATTGGAACCCTTCTGTTTTTTTTTTTAACCAAATATTCTTCAGAGAAAATCCTGATACACTTTCAATATTCATTTTCCACACACAGAGACAAAAACAAGAAAATGTAGGAAAATATTAAAAATGTTCCTGCGATTAGGTGAATCCGTGATTATCCACTACACACTGTTTCTGGACTTCCTTATTTCTTATCAATACTCAGTACTGTTTTAGGCAGTTTTGTAACATTCTTTCTGGGGTTTTGCATTGTGGTCCGCTTAAAATCCTCTTAACAAGCCACATTCAAGGCCCACGGGCCGTATGTCTACCTCCCTTCCCTTCAAGCTAATAAGATACACCAGATTGATGGAAAAAAAAGCATTTGAGTCCCTTAAGTGCAAGTAAATGAAGAATTGTTTTCCCTGCTGTTACAAAGCTAAGGAACTGGCTTGCTTTTATTTTGGGGACAGTGGAAAGGGGGTGGTTGTCAGTGTGAAATCACTTGAAAACGAGTTGAAGATAAAGCAGCCCATTGATATGTGTGAACAATCCAGAGCGGCGGCTAATTGAGCGAGGCCTGGGTTCTGTTTGTCAAGCGGATTCATTGCTATCTGCCCGGGGTGAATGAACGCTCCACGCTCGGCGCCAGTCTGTCTGCGGCGGCGAGGCGAGGGCGGGAGGGAGGGGAGGAGGGAGTATGAGGAATCTTGACTTGACTTTTTCTTTCCTTCTCTCCATGCAGGTGCAGGGAAACACATGTCTCCACTTCACTGCAGGCCAGAAGAGCACAGGCGGTGGGGGGGAGGGGGGGTCTTGGGGCAAGAGAGGGGGGGATAGGTATGCAGAAGAGATGGAAAGCGCTGATTCTTTTTCTGCTCGCTCCGTCCGGGATGGACACATCAACACACCAAAGCTTCATCAGGCCAGGCCTCCATTTTGGACCCATTCTTCTTCTGCACCTTCAAATATTTGCATTCCAGCTGTCACCCGTATTTCTTTTCTCACCTCCATAGAACACGTGTACATATCTATTCGGTTTGTATACGAGGTTTCTTTTTTTGTTGTTGTTTTTTTTTTAATCATAACAATCCAGAAACTCTATAATAGAGTTACTTGTAAGATGTCTGTGGGGATTGTTGTGTTATTTCCACAGATGATAATCCACTGAGTTTCATAAACTCGTATTGTAAAGTTTGTTGTGTGTATTACGTATGCTGTTATGTCATTAAATAAACAAAGTTTAAAACAAACAAAAGCATGACGGTTTGTCGCGTGTGTTGTGAAGGTGTAGAGCGGTGCGGCGACCACAGGATGTGTATGGGTGGAAAAATCAATCGAAACAGGGTGGGGGGTTTCCTGTGCGTTTTATTAAGATTTTTTCAAATATTGTAATTTGATTAAAATTTTAATTTGGGGGACGTTTTGTGTTGATTAAACAATGACAGAACATTTATCACCACGGTTGCAGCAACAAGAATTACATTTTTTATTTTAGTTTAGAGTGGGATTTTATTCCATTTTTAATATATATATAAATGCATAGTTCGGCAAGGCAGAGAAATCTACAAAATACCCTTCACTAGAGTGCACTAGCAGCAGTATGTGAGCTCCAGACTACTCTAAAAAAGAAAGAAAAAGTGCTCTAAAAAGAAAGAAAAAGTGCAAGTGAAAATGACCATGTGAAAGTAAAAGCACGTCCAATGTACCTAATAAAGTGGGCATTGCTTGTTAGTCATGACGTCACCCAAATCACTCAAACTGCTGACGAGAATGTCCTCCGGTGTGTATTTGACACAGCGAAAAAAACACCGCGACGATTTCAAGGGATTGAAATGTTTTTCCTTTCTTTTTTCCCAACTGAATAAACAGCTTCCCCTGGCGGCAGATAGTGGAGTTACACTCCTTGCCCAACCAACTTGCGCCTGTGTAACAGATTGGATCCATTCTGTCAAAATGTATTTTAATTTCCTCAAAATTCGCATTATAATTTTCTCACCAATCAAAAGAATTTAACATGCTGAACCAGATTCGCATGTGTATAGCCCGAAAATTGGACATATAGCCCCATCTAGTGCTATCAAGGATCTATTTATTGCACTCTTTATGATACAACACTGACATCTAGTGGTAATATGAGCTCCATTCTATATGCAGCGCTACATACACGATGTATGTATGCAGTATTTGCAAGAACCATGAAAACGTTGTTCCTGGATTGATGGATGCTGCACTAGGAGATTATATTTATGTCTGATTCTCATTTATATTTATTTATAGAGAACTCGCAAACCTCACAGGGTTTGAGATTCAAACCCCAGAACAGTGGGTGAGATGTGCAGTTATTTATGTCATTTATTTCTTTCGTTTTGGGATTTTTTTTTCATTTTGGAGAGTGATTTTAATGATTTGTTTCTAAGCACAAGAAAAAAATAGTTTGAAGACAAGTGCTGAAAATGTGCAGAGAATGAGAATGCTAGCTTGCAAGCCTGCTCGCTTGCTTACCCACTAGCTTGCACTTTTACACACATTTTTTTTTTCCAAATTTTCCAGGGAGCCCTACTGAGTGAGTTTTGGGGAAAGGTTTCGCCCCTAAAATACACGCGCGTGAAAAGTGTTGGTAGCTTTGTTGGATCGTTTTTGCCTCCCCAAAAACGTGTTTTATTATTCGAAAAAATAACAATTAAAGTGATTCTTAGAATTGCCGATGGGTGGTGTGAGTGAGCGTGGTCATGTCAGAAAGCCTAGTGCGTGCGTGCGTGCGTGTGTGTGTGCGCGTGTGTGTGCGTGTGCGTGTGTGTTGGGGGGGAGGGGTAAATTTCATTCAATATCTCCTCTGAGCCAATAAGCAAGCCACTGCCACTGCACGAATCCAATCATCACACCCAAACTCACCTCCTGCCAATGGCCACAATAGCCTTTGTGTGTGCACTCTGACCCCTTTTCTCAAGCCATACACATTCATGTTAAATCGAATCGAGTCCGTGAGTTAATATGTAGCATTTCCTCCATTGCAGAATATGTTCTCTTTGTATTTTGTTAGGTCTCTGTTGCTATTGTGTGTTCCGTCTCTGTTGCTATTGTGTGTTCCATCTTGGTAGCTACGCACAATGGAGAACGTTTCATAAGAAGGTGTATTAAATATGAGAATGATACAGTAGTAGTCATGTGAATAGTATGACTATGCGAAATAGAATGTCATGGATTAATGCCATTTGAATGTATGGTTGGTTCGTGATTATCAGTATCTTCTCACACATATATTTTGCATCAAAATAGTTGTATTATATTATTTCTTGTTATCTTCTTCTTTTTAATCTAATCATCATCATCATAATGTCTTTGGCATGGTTGTATTTTTGTTATTTTTGAATAAGGACTGTAAGGATGTAATTTTGTCAGGATGTAAAGTAGGACAAACGTGATTTCTTTTGTCAAAAATGTTTTGCTTGGGTATTCAATGCATTTGATTTTTTTTCTAAATTTAGTTTTAAATTGCAGGACTTTTAAACGTACAACTTTGCATTTTAATGAACAATTCAAAAACCATTGGTTATTCTTTGGTTAAAAAAACTTTTTTTAATGTTATCTGATATGTCACACGTCAGTTATGTAGTGCTCAATTTCCCCATTGTAAATACTGTCCTGGAACAAAAAAGTATATTCGTGTATGGTAAAATACTATTATACAGACAACGTCCTTGCGAGAATTGACATATTACTTCTTCTTGTTCTTATCCTTTTTTTAAACAGTAGTAAAGCGATGTTAATTATATTCTTCCTAAACGTATTCACACGATCATTTTTTTTCTTCGAGAACAACGTGTCCCCAAAGGAAACAAAAAGATTCTACTGCCTCTTTAAGAGGAACCACCTCCCCCGAGCCTCCTCCTTCTTGTCAACCCAACCGTTTTATGCAAATAAGGCGTAGCGAGCGTGCCGCCGGCCAATCAGCGACGGGCTCCAACCGCGGGAGATCTAAATTTCGCGCGACGAAGTTTGGCGCTAAAAAGTCGAGCTTGTTCTCGTTGAATGGAGAAAGGGAGCCTGGTGACTTCGGGGCGGACTGGGTCACACGCTGACGCACTGAAGGGCTGAAAAAAAAGACGGAAGCACAGCTTCGCGGACCCTCGGTGGTCTTTTGAGCGAGCCCATGGACCTTTAAACACACTTTGGTGAACTTAGTTGTACATTCGAAGCCATGTTTGTTGGCTTGCGAGACGAGTTTTTGTGCACTTAACAGGACTCGTTCGCCTTTTGACTGACGTCACCACTCGGAACCAAACCGTTGTTGTTTCTTGCATGTTACTTTGTATGCTATTTGACTTTTAGAACGCGTTTTAAGTCTAAATCTATATTATTTTGGATTGGCATTTGTTTGTTGATCGTATCATTGGCATTCATTTTGAAACGGGTCCTCTTTGCGGTACAATGATGCGCCTGCCCAAAGGCGTCTCCCCCGCGTCGGGACTTCCGTGCAGTCAACCCAAAATGAAGCTTGCGGCCGGCGAGTTCTTCAGCACTGGCCTGTCCAGCCCGCCCCTGAGCGCGGTACCGGTGGGCTACTTCAGCCAGATCTGCCCTAACACCGCCGTGGTGGAACAAAGAGTGCACAGCCTCTACTCGACCCCCCACGGACCTGACCAAAAGCCCATTAGATCGACCACCGGACGGCTGCCGGTAAGGAATCGAATCGTGTGTGTGTGTGTGTGTGTGTGTGTGTGTGTGTGCGTGTGTGTGTCTGTGTGTATTGTCAGTGAGTGTGGGTGGAAAAATGTGGCCCTGGTATGCATGTTTTAATCGGTGTGGACGTGGGGAGACACAATAGAGTCAAACAGATTTGAACCGGGCGCATACCAGAAAAATTAATACAGTATATGAGGAAATTGGATCAGTTAGTGTTGGGTGAACCGATACCTTGATAACAATCTTCCGATGCAGGACAAAATATCAATATCACTTTTAGAAACGTTCTGATTATTGTTGCTAAGTGAATCCAAATGGAAGAATAGACACCATGACACCAGCCTTCTCGATACATGATGACATATCATTGATAAAATATATTATGATTGTTATATGTAGATGTAGTGGTGCACTGACTGCGTATACCACCAGCCAAACTGATACATGACACTTTACCCGTACTGTATTTATATATATATATAGAGTTAATAAAAGAGTAAATATATCAGTTACTATTGGGTACATATATGGATATTGTGATATCAGCTTTCTTGACATAAGACAAAATATCGACAAGCATCTGAACTTGTTTTCCTCTTACATGCAACACTTTTCCCATTACAGGACAAAATGTAAACATTGACGAACCAACTAACTGTTGTCTCTCTTGGTTTATGTCACAAAAGTCAAAATAAAAGGAAAACTAACTACTTTGTACAATGAAAAATACATAACTGATATAACTTTAATGAGAGCACTGCAAATTGATGCTCTGCAAAATGGATGATGAGCTCGCTGCAGGTGGCCGTCCTGCGAGTTGCCGCGACGACTGCCGATGGGCCCGCACTGAGTTTGGTGATCAATTATAGTTAATTTTATAAAAGTAAAATGTAGTTCAGTTTAGTTCATTTTTTTTTCAATTCTTGTCTTTATTTCATTAACAAAAATGTTTTTCTCAATTTTAATTTTAATTATTTCATTAGTTTTCATTAACTCTAATCACCCGCCTCCTAGTCATTTGAGATCGGCGATACCAGACTTGCTATCATCTCAGTTTGTAAATATCTCAACTCTACTCCTTTTTATTTCTACAGCAAAGCGCATGAGAGAACATTCAACATGAACAATAGCACAACAGAACACAACATAAAACCTTGACTGGCGTCCTCTATCCGACAGTCGCTCGTTGCTTCACTTTTTGTTCGTTTTTATTTCACGATGACACTAGTAGGGCAGCTGGTCCGCCTGTCTGCCTGTGTAACCTGTTCACCACAGGAGAGTTGTGGCAGGTTCAAAGGTCATAAGAGACAACTGCTATGTTGGACAAGCACGACTCAAGGGGGAACTAAATAAAGTCCAACGTGAACTGTGTTACCCCACCCAACAACCTGCCCCGTACCAGCTGTTGTTTGTCAAATTTGGCCAAAACTGCAAAGGTTAAGGGGGTGACACGGTGGTTCCGTCCAAATCTCATGCTGACCCACCCCTCGCCCTGGGGCTTGTCGTCGCGATTAGCTGCTGCAAGAGGATTAGTCCCCGAAGTACAGTGACGGACGGGGGCCACCTGCCCACAGACGCGATGTGTTCAGGTGTTCCTCGTATGACGGAACCCGCCAATACATGTTTATTTTGATGGATGATGACTCTATGTTTCTTGTATGGCACACCACATTATCACTATGGTGTATTCTGTGCTCCAGGGCGTGCAAGTTGCGAAGCCCTGAACTAGCGGCTGATAGTCTTTATTGTACGGTCTTCAGAAGCAGGCGGCGGGTTACTGATAAGGACGCAATAGTCTTGGAGTGTTTTTGGACTGATTGTGGTTTTTGCCTCCCTCCCACACATGTTGTATGTGAATATACTGTATATGAAATGTAGTATGTGTCCATGTGTGTTACGATGAGCATGCACAAAATTATTAGAACTAATTAAAGAAAAAAAAATTTAACTATCATGATTAATGTGATTATAGATGCTTATTATATATACAATATCGTTCATCCCATATTGTGGTAATATTGATCCCATGTCCCCTGTTGATGAGATTGGCTGGCGACCATTCCAGGGTGTAACCCACAGAAAATTCTGTTGTGATTCTGGCAACTCAAGTGGCAATAGAATAATTTTCAATATGTATATATTTTTTTATTTGACAAAAATACGCTCAGGATTTTCCCCCCAAATAATCTAATCGTACAAGAAAACAATTCTAATATGATGAGAATGCTTTGTTTTTTTGAAAGTGTCATCTTAAGCAAATTTGTCATATTGCATGGAAGAAAATTCCGTTGAAAATGACTCACAAATGTGACTTTTTACACTTCTGTGATTGTTGCAACACATTGTCCAATTCCTCTTTGACTTCTGTGTCCTCATGTGATACTTGACCACAATGCCCGGAATCTTACAAATATTTAACTCAGCAGCAAGTTCGAAAGCAAGGTATTTTTTGCAAGCTACCGAAAGTAAAAGGACCTCGAGTTTATTGTGTCAATAAGTTTGTAAAAGAAAGCTAATGTATGACTGAAGCTCCTCTTGAATCACGCTCACTGTAATAAAAGGCAATTAGTGTGCAAGCGTGAGTGTTTATTACACATTTATTACAGTGAGCGTGAATCACGCTCACTGTAATAAAAGGCAATTAGTGTCAAGTCAAGTCCCATTTATTTAGATCGCCCTTCATCACAAACGGTCTCAAAGGGCTTCACATGGCCACAGTTGACAAGTCGTCATGACATCCTTTGACCTTGACCCCCAGGAGGGCATGAAAAAAACTCCCAAAACCCCATCTTTATGAGAAACCTTAAGAAGAGGCCGCAGATGGGAGAAGTCCCCCTTCCAGGATGACCAGGATGCAACATTTGACACAATATGGTACAGTGGTACCTCTACTTACGAAATTAATTGGCTCTGGAAGAAATTTCTTCACTAGAAAACTGAGTTAGTTGCCCTATTTTGCCTGGCTAAGGCATTCCAGATTACTAGAGCCCCAATCGAAAACGCTCTCGAACCTGCGAACTTCTTTTGGGCTCTCGGTCTCACTAAAAGACCAACCGTGATTGTCCTGTTGATAGTGGTGTCAATATATTCACCCTTTTCAGGGACAGCGGTTACTACAGTGGACAGCTTATCATGTTATCAAGTTACAGGGTGCATAAAAGGGTTAAAAAAAAAAAGATTTCTGTGTGAAGTCCGCCACGTTCTTTTATTCCCTTTCACATTCGACACTTGCTCCCGACTTTAAATTGAACGGAACAGACGCACAACCGTCACTGTTTACCGCATAACAGAAAGTGTTGCACGCATAAGCAGACAGCGCATTCAACTGTCAATTCAGAGCTTTTTTTTCTTGGGAAGTCAATGAAAGTTTGTTTGCGATGCTTGCAATCTCCATGTGGAACTCCTCCAAACCCCCAAGACAGGTTTTCGCCTCAGGGGGTTCGACTACGGTCTTGACTGGATGCGCTTTCGCTGAAAATTGCCTTCATAAGTCGGTTTCGACCAAGCACCTGGCAATGAATACACTCGAATAGGACGATGCCCAGAATTCTGGGTCACTTTAAAAATAAAAATAAAAATAAAAATGACAAAAAATGGGATTTGACGTAATTGCAAAGCCGAGGTGGCGTGATGCTGGTTGGCGAACGCCTATCACGAGAAGTAATAACAACTCAGCTTTGGTGCGTATCAAGTAAACTAGCACTGAACAAGCTTAAGCCTCGTCACAGCACGTCCGACCGACTCTCTTCACGACTTGATGGTAGCAAAAGCGTCAACACATCGCAAAGCAGTGAGTCAGAAAGGGAATCTGGTGTAAAAACTGCACCAGATGTGCTGTGGGCACGCATTACACAGGAAGGTTTCTTCTTCGGAAATGTTAGTAATAAAATGAAAGCGCCACTACAATGACAACCTGGTAATTTACTCATTTCTTTCTAGCTTTAACTCAGAGGTGTCAAACTCAAATTTGTCACGGGCCACATTGTCGTTACGGTTTGCCTTGGAGGGCCGTTATGAATTTTGGGAAACCATATCAATGTTTAATCACCTCCACATATTACATACACAGCGCACAACAAATTGATGAATAACTAGTTTTAAAATCATAAGTCAAGAATTTATTGTGGATTACATATGACAATTTGGTTCAGAATTGAGCAGGCATTATCGAACATGACATGCTTGATTTGCTTTTGCGGCCCACATAAAATGATGTGGTGGGCCAGATCTGGCCCCCGGACCTTGACTTTGACACTCATCAGGGTGGATCATTTTTACTCCTTGTTGTATCAAAATTTTGACCCCCACATGCTGGGTCAGATCCTCAACCCAACATTGGCTAGCTCCCTTTTGGACCCAGCGCTGGGTTAGCTATTTGACCTGCTTGGGTTGCAGTAGTGCTGTTGGTTGGTTTAGGTGCGCTCTTCTCCTCCATATTTTTATTTATTCATTTATTTTTGCATCGTTCTTTTCGATGTTTTTTCACCATGTTATTCAATTTCTACTCCTACGCAGAAGTTACAGTTCTCTGTCGACCAAGCTGCAGCGTGGCTCCACTTTCTAGTCATATGTCAAACAAAAGTTCAAGAACAAAATTTGTTTTTGCCTTCAGCAGTCAAGAGTGACATTGATGTCGGCCGACTATGAAAATGGCCGTGATATTCCCAATTACAGCAATTATTGTAATTATAAAAATTCTTAATGTTGTACATTGCACCTTTTTTTTTTTTTTTCATTTCCCAGATCTCAGTTCAGCAGTGTTGGCCCAAATGTCTCGACACCATACAACTAAGGTGTCAGTACCAGTTCCATGACAAATTGATGCCAAAATGTGAACACTATTGCTGCAAATCAACACCGAAAGCATCAGACTCGGAGTGATCAATCCAAAAGCTTTTTGGCATGAGTTGACATGAATTCAAGCAAGAAACTAGCACAAAACGGCAGATCCACCCAATGCTTTTTAAAAGGAACCACATTGACGATGTCTTTGGCAAGGCCGCTGTTGTTACGCTATGATTACACGGGTGTGGTAGTCAGGTGGGGGTTTGTGTACTAAAGTGTCGTGTTTTTTTTTTTTTGGCGGGCGTTCTGTAACTTGCCCTCGGCTTGAATGGAATCTGGAATCATATACAAGCCTGACAGGAAATGTTTGCTGCAGGGGCTGGTGATTTTTTTATTTATTTTTTTTCATGTGACAACAGAGATTCTGCGACCGCGGTGGCAATTAGGCGGACAGATGAGCTCAGGGTGTCACGTGATGCTGCTTGGGTGTAACGGCGCAAGCAGGCGGGGTGAGGTGGCGGCAAAACGTGAAAGCTGCGATACTGCAACACTTGCAGATAAAGGACAAGGAGTGCAGTTTGCTCTTTTCCTCACTGGCTCTCTGACTTGCTACACAAACCACACATCAGCTAACCTCTCTTCCTTGTGTCATATTTAACAAAAGAGAGGTCTCAAATTGGATTGAGATTCTTAAATCTCACTTTGTTAGACCTGTAGATATCTCTCTGCAAGCCTCAAATTTTTTTGAACATATCAAAGTATACCAAGACCAGATACCTGCAAAACCTTTAGAAGGGTTTTCCTATTTAGTAACGTTTTAAAATCATCTGTGTTCTGTTGTACCAATTAGCTCATGCTAAGCTAACCTGGGAGGGTTCATCTCTCCAACCTGGTAAAGCAAGCAAGCAAACAAACAAACAAACAAACAAAAAACCATCACAAACCAGCATCGTTTTGTTTTACTATCACCAGCATCAAAACAAAACAAAACAGCCAAGATTCGAACAGCCGAAACATTTGTCATTGGGCAAGCCGGTCAATGAACTGAGCCACAGCCACCCAGCAGGACCAGCCTGCTGCCGTGGCCTTTGCAGGAGCTGGTGATTGCTTGTGACCAGCTGGTGCGGTCAGCTACCAGCAGAGCACCAACGGCATGATGGTTTTGCCGGGTGGCTGCGACTCAGTTGATAGAGCGAGTTGCCCAGTAACCAAAAGGTTGTTTGAATCTTTGGTGTTTTTGTTTTTTTTTATTTACTACTGGTATTGCTATTTACACCAGCAAGACCAGCATGCTAGGCCAACATGGAAATTCCAACATTCCTGCGACACAAATACACGTGTTATGATTCATCCTTATCCTTTTTTAACGGCCAATTTGCATCTCAGTTGGAGTCACCACCAATTCATGCGCAGCCCTGCTATCCCGAAAATATTGGCCAAAATGTCTTCAAAGATTGTGATATCGTTATTGACTCCATATTGACTACTCCTACTGGTCGCATTTTTTTGAAAGGGGACTGCTTGAATTGAGCTTATCCGATACCCAGCTTTAAAAATGTTTCAAAACAGTTTCCCGTTTATTGAAGAACAGGAGCTGAATGAGTGCTTCCACTTTTACCAGTCTTCCCAGTACACAGTGTAAATACCTTATCCATCTCCTTTTTATACTGTGTAATTTTTCTTTTGTCCTTCCAAGAGTTTGTAAGACACTATTATAATTAGTTATTTGCCAAATTAGATGTTAATGTTGTTTCAAAAAAGTTTCTGGTCCTTCGTGTGTGTGTGTGTGTGTGTGTGTGTGTGTGTGTGTGTGTGTGTACTTTTTTTACTACATTAGTCCCATATGCTTACTATACATTCTGTATAGCTCCAGATGTCGCTGGCTAACAGGTGGACATGTCGCGCTTTAGCACGCTAGCACAATGGCGGCTTTCACTGTCCAACACGACTCGCCACTTTTCAAGTCGCTGGGATTGCCAGCTGTCTCGGATAATTAGGAACAAGTAGCTTCTGGGGCAAAGCGGAGGTCCGTCAAACTGCCAAGTTTTGACAGAGGAAGAAGATAGCGCACACCGCAAGGTGAGATGCTAAATGTTGGCAGCTGATGTCTTGTGGTGTGACAGCCTCCGCAGTAGTCTGTGGGATGTGTTCCAAAAAGTCCAAGCTTACGGTTGCGTGGAATTGTTTGTTGCCCCACAACGCCATTTTGGCCTTCTATCAAAGAAGGTTCCCAGCACGCGCTATCAAGGATACCATCTTCATGCGATGTTTAAAGCCAATGTATAACCTGTCACGCAGGTTTGAGAGCTAAGGCAGCATGTCCCAACCTTTATTCGAGCCAAGGCACCCAGTGCAGTGTCTTAAATTAGAAATGCATGCGAGTGCTTTTCGGGGGGGGGGGTTGAGTCTTCTGAGGATTTCTGGCGTTCTGTAGGCGGTGAGTTGAGAGATGATTAATCTCCCCGCCCTCTCTTCCACCCCACCCTTGTCCAAGCAGCCCGTCTTGAATTGCTTGGGAACGTGTGAGGGGATGCTTTGTTTCCCGCACTTGAGAGCTGTTGGCACATTTATGACGGGCCTCTTTTGGCCCGCTTTGCGGCACACGTTTATGATGTAACACTGAACTGGCACTTATTCAGAGTCACTGCGGGTTGTTCTGCAGGAAGGCTGTGACTACGTAGTACGCCATCGACTTGAAGGGATTGTTCCTGCTTTTGTCTTGTATGTTCTTAAGTGTAACTGTAAATGATCTCCTCTTTCTTCAGGCCAAAAGGAAGTTGGATCTTGAAGATCCGGTTTTCCTCCCCGAATTCTGTACCCCAAAAGGCAAAGGTGGCATTGCAGCAAGTCCAAGAAGTAAGAACACACAACTTAAAATGAAAAATGTACATTTTTATTGGAAGTTACAACTCATTTTTTAATAATTTTTTTGCCTTTTAGCTCCAAAGTCACCGGGCGAGCGGACGAGGTACGACACCTCGCTGGGCCTGCTGACCAAGAAGTTTGTCGGCCTCATCGCCGAGTCGCCCGATGGCGTCCTGGACCTGAACTGGGCCACGGAGGTGCTGGAGGTCCAAAAGAGGCGGATCTACGACATCACCAATGTTCTGGAGGGAGTCCAGCTCATCCGGAAAAAGTCAAAGAACAACATCCAGTGGCTGTAAGTTGGGACTGAACAATTTTGTCGAAATAATTTGAATACATTTATTTCGAGGGCCTCTTCCCGTGCATATATATTTTTTTATAATCGGGAGACCTTGGAAACAATTATTCAAAACGATACTCAAAACAAAATTAAAACTATTATTAAAAATCCCAAACTATTCCAACCCCGCTGGGAACGGGAAAATAAAAAGCATCAATTGTGTTGTTGTCACAAGGGTTGGAGATGTGTTTGAAGGCGGCACCAGCGGAGGAGGGAAGGCCCGAGCGTTGCAGAAAGAACTCAAAGACTTGGAACGAGCCGAGCAATCGCTGGACGAGCTCATCCACTGCAGCAGCGCGCAGCTCAAACAGCTCACCGAGCACAAAGACAACCAAAGATATCCTTCACAGAACAACAACTCCATCCTCCTCTGGGAGATCTTTTGAGCGTTTTCTTCTTTGTTTACCGTTGACCTTTAACCCGATACTTGCACGCTGGGCTACGTGACGTACCAAGACATCCGCTTCATCGGCAGCTTCCGAGAGGAGACGGTGATTGCCGTCAAGGCACCCTCCGAGACCCAACTGGAAGTGCCAGACGTGTCGGGGGTGAGGACGCGTCTGTTGTTTGACTCTTTACAACCTGCTGCTCGTCTCCTTCTCACCTTAATGATTCTGTCTTAACGCGTGACTTGGCTTTTGGCTCGGGGTTTTTGGGCTCAAAACAAATAAGTTTCTTAAAAAATATATATTTGTGTGTCTGAATGTTTTGAACTCTTGTTTTCATGTCTGTGTTGTTTTGAGCAGAAAACAGCAAAAAAATGTTGGAAAACCAAATGTATGAAAACAAGGGTTTATGACACTCCATGTTCCACTGTACTTCCTTAACACAATTACTATTTTCCAATTAGTCTGGACTTTGGAGCCATGTTCAGATTTAACCATCTAATGAAAATAAATCTTTAAAAAAATGTCGATCAGTGACTAACGATTTTTTTTTTCTCAATTGTCAGGGCTCGTTACAGATCTATTTGAAGAGTAAGAATGGTCCCATAGAAGTGTACCTGTGTCCAGAGGAGGGTCTCGAAAATGCCAGTGCGGTTAAAAGCTCGGTCACACCAGAAAAGCCCACTGCAGCACCAGCGAGCCTCAGCAGCAACAAAGAAGAGTCTGTTGAAGGTGAGTTTGGACTTTTTCCTGATTCCGTTCTTTCAAATTAGGGTGATAAACCAAGGTTAGGCTTTTAAATTAGGATTGGAAGCCTGGGTTGGGGTTGGTTAAGATTTCAGATTAAGTTTTCATAGCATGGATCGAGAGTTGGTTTATCTATAATCATTCCACATTGACAGTATACCAAATAAATATAAAGTGGGGCCTTGACTTACAACTTTAACTCGTTCAGTGACCAAACTTGCACCTCAAAACACTTGTATCGTAAATCATATTTGACTGGCACAACCAGTTTGTGACTGATCAGTGTTTGTCATGTAAAATTTACTGCAAAGAGTCTCACTAAAGAGTGAATAGATCTTCTTCTCCTTTCGGCACGTCCCTATTCAGGGGTCGCCACAGCGAGTCAGTAATTTCCATCCGCCCCTGTAAACCGTCCTACCAACTCGCATGGTCGTCTTGGCAAAAGTTTTACGCCGGATGCCATTCCTGACGCAACCCTCCCCATTTCTCCGGGCTTGGGACCGGCACTGGGGAACAGTGCACCCCCAGGGGAGGGCACTGCCCCCCAGCGGCTGGGTTTAAAGAGTGAATAGATGATGGAGATTATTTAAATTTAGAAGTTGAAGCAACATAATGCACACACACACACACACACAGATGCATGGCACACCTGCACGCACGCACACACACTACTAAATACTACTACTACAAAGTAGAAACAACCTTTTTGTGATGAAAAGAGAGTCTATTCTTTCATTGGGTAGTTTCTGTGATTATCCTTGAAAGATCAGTCAGAATGCTTTAAATTGGCCAGCACTCAATAGGTTATCTTTTTTTGAAAACGGATGGCATTGAAAGGCGTTTCTAACACCGCGATGTCAGTGCTATTCGTTGGCCCATCTATGGCTTTTGAACCGTGTGTTAGCATTAAGCTAGCAAATTTTCATATGAGGAAAAGGTTTTGAATAAACGTAAAATTCTCTATTTTATGTTTAATTTGACAGTAGACTTCCACTGTGAGTGGCAATAAACAGCAGCCAATCTGCTACTTGTTGGGGAATACGCTGCCACCATCTCTCGCTCGTGTTTTGAATTTCAAATCAAAGAAAAGAATTTGTCAAGTGACAGCTCAATTGCAAAAACACGCAAGTTCAAGTGCCGCTGTCATTAACTATCCGCATCCCTACTTAAATGTCAGGTTCCAAAATATTGATCCACTTGCCGCATTTCCCATGAAACATTTTAGACGTTCTTTCCTTATTCCGCCCAAAACAAACGCAGCGTGCATGTCCACAGCGGCCGCTTCAACCTCCTCTTCGTCCACTCTGCTGGATGTGGAGCATCTGCTGAGTTTGCCTCCCAGCTTGCTTCAGATGACCGAAGACCAACTACCTGGCACGTCCTTCCCCACCGACCCCAGCGAAGGTGGCGGCACCCCCTTCGTCAGCTTCTCCCCACATCTGGACCATAGCGACTACCTCTGGAGCCTGGAGGATGGCGAGGGTGTGTCCGAATTCTTCAACACGTACGACCTCAATGATCTCTTGTAAAGGTGACGGAACTTTTGGGAAAAACAAAAAATGACAGTATGAAGCCCTGTTTGCCCCGCTCCTCCAAAAAGTCTTGTGGAGATGCGATAAGTTGGTTGGTATGTGGTGAAGTCCTGCTAAAAATCAGACCAAAAGGCTATGAAAGAAATGTATGGCTCATACGTTGCACTTACAGGCCAGAACATGACGTACACATCTTAAATTTCGGTCATATTTTTATGAAGTAACATGACGATTTTGGAGTTGTTGAGGCTTTCCTAAATAGATCCTCTGAGGTTTCATTTGTGCTCTTAAACTTGAATGGCGGACAGGATGCGATGTTTTTCTTGCTAGCCATATATGAACCATAGGTGATGCCAAAATTTGAAACGAAGCCAATTAATATGGCATTTTTTACTGAAAAGGCATAAAAAAAATCAAACAATATATATTACATTGGGATGAAATGAAAGCTAATAAAAAAAAATTTAAACAATATATATTACATTGGGATGAAATGAAAGCTCTCATCGGAAAAAATGTGATTATATAATTAAACTATTTCTCTCTCTCTCTCTCTCTCTCTCTCTCTCTCTCTCTCTCTCTCTCTCTCTCTCTCTATATATATATATATTTAAAATGTACAGCTAGTTTAATTATAGAATCATACTTTTCCAATAAGATTTTTTATTTCATTCAAATATATATATACATTTTTTAATAATTCATTAATAATTTTTTTCTCAATCCATTTTCAGAAAAATTATCTATTTAATTGGCTTTGTTTGTATTTCATGTAGGCATCAAAACAGCACTGCTGTTGTTTATTCTTTCAAAAGAAATACCCCTCAAAGGATCTCAATCAATCATTTCATATAATTGATGAAACAGAGAGGAAGATAGCACGTGTAACTCAGGAATTATATCTCACCCTTTGATTTGCCCCAACAAGTCTTGCCAGTCTTTGGCCCGCAGGGGGCAGCATTTGGTGCCCGTTAGCTTTAATAGACCGTTGCAAAGCTTTACACTAGGTTTGAATCACTGGTAAGGACTGAAGGTAAAGCCATAACACAGCACTGAACGCTCCAAAAAAATTGGTCATCTGCAGTTGTTTGTTAGCAATGTTAAGTATCATTAACCGGGTGCTTAAGTGTCGCTCATGCGGAGCCAATAATAAAGAGTGACTGCCCCTCTTATTTATTTGGAAGCTTGGATTCCAAATTAGCTTGAAATTGATGTGGACTTACTCATGCACAATTACTATTGTATTTCTGAGGAAGTCGTTTTTATGCTTTTTTGCGTTCAAATGTGTGGGGGGTTTTTCCTCCACTGTTCGTAAGTGTAATATTTGCTCTGGTTGCTATTGTTTGGGCTTTTAGAAATAAGCTAACTGTCCTGTCCTAACAAAACTTGAAAGTGTGCATTTGGGTGTGATTTTTTTTTTTTTTAAATCCACATGGGAAAAAGGTCTTATACATTGTGTGCCTGAGTGATTTTGTTTTATTCCCATGTTTTTCTTTATTTTACTATGTAGATTCAGAGAATTTGTAGTAATTTCAATCAGCATTATTGATTTTCTTTGTGCTATTTGTACATAGAGGATTTTGTATTTATACCTATTTTTGCTGAATTGTTTTCATACAGGCATTTTTTGTACTACATGCAGCACTTAATATTTTTGTAATATTGTGTTTTTTTTGTTGAGAAAATGGAAATAAATAAACAATGAAGCCATTATTCCTCATTGTTAAAGTTGCCAAACAGTGTGTCACATCTACCGGTCTTTTCCATGCAGCGGTGTTTCCATTCAAGACCCCTAAAGATTCCATCCATCCATTTTCTGGTCCGCTTACCATCACAAAGGTCGCGAGCGTGCTGCAGCTGATCGCAGCTGTCTTCGGGCAGTTGGCGGGGGACACCCTGAACCGGTTGCCAGCCAATCACAGGGCACACAAGAGACGAACAACCATCTGTGCTCACATTCACACCTAGGGACAACTTACAGTGACCCATTAATCTGCCATGCATGTTTTTGGAGAGACGAACAACCATCAGCACTCACCGCTCACATTCACACCTAGGGACAATTGACAGTGACCCATTAATCTGCCATGCATGTTTTTGGACCGAGTACCCCACAAAAGGTCAGGGTTCACTGGGTCACTGGAGGAGGGTGTGTTTAGTAAGTGCAAATATTAGTAGACAATAGGAATTAGACAAGCTAAGACCCCAGGGTTGTACCATCATTGTTTTAGGGGTGTGGACACTCAAACGGCAAAACAGAGAAACAAATATTTTTCCAAAAAGTGTGAGTGCTGTGTGAGTTTGTGCATCCATTTGTTCGCTAGCGGGCCTCTTCCGGGCTCATATACAGTGAGACAATATGATCATACCATTCTTGATTTTGGACACGGGGAAATAATATAAACAGGGACTCTACCATTTGCAATTTGGGGCACCGTGTAGTTGATTTAAACAGCGAAAACCTATACGTGTGTAGTCATCTTTTCATAAACACTCTTCTCATCCGTTTTCTGCGATCTGTTTACGGCTCAACCAACATCAGGTGCCGATTAGTTTTATTAGCCCTTGCTGCACAAGTCACGTTTGGTTAACGGCAGGCTATAAAAACTGCATCACAAACGTACCTCGTCCATCATGGCAGACTTTGTAAGGTTTTAAATTGCCTTTGGTTATACGTACCTTTGTGTGGTTGCATGGCAGGAGGTCAGCAGTGAGCTGCAACATAATGATGAGGCTATTATTTAAATTATGGGTTTG